CTGGTGGCGTTTCGCATCAAAAGGGTCTATAGTGCAGTTTGAATTCGTTGCAGATGATACCACAGCTCCACCTTCCCAGTAACGATTGGAAACCCAACGTGTCTTTTTTTTTTTGCCTATCAAAAATTTGTGTACGAGTTATATTTCGCGACAGCCATCGGCATGGTTACAAGTAAACACCTCGTCACTGATCTGCATCTTATCATAAAAGAGTAATAGACGTGCCCCACTGATCTTTTTTTTCGGTCGCGCTTTGCCAGAGATTCCGTCTTTTGCGCAAAGTGGCTTGCGAATTGTTATTTGACAAGGATATCTTTGATCTTTTTAGTTTTTTGCAATCCTAAGACACCTGCAGTGTTTCATTGTAATCGGGTGATTTTGTAAGGATGGACCAGAATTCCTCTTAATTCTTTTTACATAATCTTAGAATTCGCTCTACCGTTTTGGCAGTCACACCTAGCTGATGCTGGAAACTGCCATCAATTACCTTAATTTTCAAGTTTTCATTGTTTCACCTTGCGTCTCAGGGTACCAAACACTATCGGATTATTTCTTCTACTTCTGTCTTCCAGATCCGCCATCTTTTCCTGTTGGATGTAAACCAATTCTTCCAACCTATGAACTGATTCCCGTAGCTGTGCCATATTTTGGTTACTTTTCTAGAGGGCATCTACTTTTTTCAAGGCGCGTTATTTTATCAGTCAATTCGTCCTGTATTTGTTTGGACCAAATTTGGTTTTCCCTTACGTTTTTCATTTCAGTGCTAATTTGTTGCTGGTTTTTGAGAACTTGATTTATCATTTCTTCTCTTTTTGTCCTAGGACTTGTGTTTAGTTTCATATCACCAGATATGAAACTAAACAACCCAAGAGCAAATTATATCAGCACTCCAAGGCACAGGCAAGAAACACTCTTGGGCACGGCAGGAAAACTACACTTCGGTTGTCGGTTTTCGGTTGTCGGGAGAAACATCATCGTAGGTGTCTACATAGATGACTTCCTGACTCTGGCAAAGGAGTAAGAGGCGATCACTTCAAGAAAAGCATTTTTTGCACATTCAGCACCAAGGACCGCGGAGAGGTTAGTCACATTTGTCAATCATAGTTGTGCGACATGAAGGTGGAGCTCTCATGCTGAACCACGCAGCGTACGCCGAAGAATTCTTAGAGCCATTTGGGATGACGAGTGCTAAAAGGGCAGCATCACCGCTTTATTCTGAAATGAAGCTTCAGAGATACACTACTCCTGATGAAGACAGAGAGTTGAAGCCCAGGTACAGACAAGTGGTTGGAGCGTTTTTTACTTTGCGAGGGCACAAGGCCAGTCTTGGCCTTCGAAACCACTTGAATGAGCCAATTCAGTCAGCATCTGACCTTGGAGATGTGGAACGGCATAAGGCACATTTTGAGGTACGTGCAACAAACAAAAAGCTATACCCTCGTATACACGAAGGCAGAAGGTTGTGTTCAAGGCTTTTATGACGCCGATTAGGCAAATTATACAAATGACAGGCGATCATTTAATAAATATATTGTCATGCTAAATCTCCATCCAGAATGACAATTTATCCACTAAATTCCATTTCATGAGCAGCAAGAAGTGAAATTTAACTGCATTATCCAGCAAGGAAGCCGAATACCTTTCAATGTTCAATGATATATAATTAAGCCTTAAGCTTGTTTGATGATATGCTATGTCTGAAATAGTCACTGGAGAGACCGGCATGCTGTCTACTAAATAAGCTTAAAATATCATCTGCCTCTTACCACACCGGTTTAAATAACAATATACTTAAAAAAACTGCGCAAGGCCATTCTGAGATTTTGACAGTCCTGTTTTCGCAATAATTATTTGCAGGTCTGATTCCTCAAGACTGGCGTATAGCTAAGGTAAATCCCATCTTGAAATCCGGTGATCGCTCTTTATCACTGGACTATCGACCTATCTCGCTTACCAGCACTATCTGTAAACTTCTGGAGCACATCCTACATTCTGAAGTCATGCGCTATTTAGAGAACCATAACATAATTTTCAAGTATCAGCACTGTTTTCGCAGGGGTTACTCATGTGACACGGTTTCGTTCACGACTTACACACATCTCTTGATGCTAATTTTCAAGTTGACGCGATTTGTTTCGAATTCTCGTAGGCTTCTGATCGCGTTACCCATCACAGGCATTTAGTAAAACTTGCTTAGCTTAACGTTCATCCTAACGTTCTCTCACGAATAAGACTTTTTCTCAAGTAAACTTCTGTTCACGCTCATTAACGATTCCAACCCCTCTTTCGCTCAAGTGACGTCTGGAGTTCCACAGGGAAGCGTGCAGGAGCCTTTACTTATGCTAATATAAATGACCTACCCACTTCCGTTTCATCTCATACCAGTCTTTTTGCTGACGACTGTGGCATCTACCGTGACATCTCTTCTAACACCGATCGCCAAGCTCTCCAATCAAACCTAGCACAGATAACCACGTGGTGTTCCTTGTGGCTAATGACCCTCAACCATAACAAAGCAAAACATGTCATTTACCAAAAGCTTGTCTCAGATTCCAACCTCTTACCTTCTGAATAACAATACTGGTGAATTTACTTCAATAAATAAATACCAGGGTGTCAGCACTCAGTCTGATTTATCCTGGTACTACCACATTGATCTCACTCTTGCTTCCGCTAACCGTTCCCTTGGATTCATAACGGTCAATCTTAAAGCAGCACCCGTTCATTTACGAAAACTTACTTATATCACCCTAACCCGCCCCAAATTGAATATGCTTCCGCCACATCGGATCCCGAGCAAGCTTAGATTACAAGTAACATCGAGTTCCTTCAAAACCGTGCTGCTCGTTTCATTTGTTCTGACTATTCTACATGTTTCACTGTTACCACATTAAAAAATTCAAGTTGAGTTGCAAGACCTATCACGCCGCCGTAAATATGCTTGCCTGTCATTATTTCACAAGCACTATTACCATGCATCGGTTCACGAAGATTTTTTTTTCAAACACCCACTATTACCTTTCAACGTCGCTTTCATTCATTCAAATTAACGCGTATAACATGCGACTCATCTAGTTATGCACGATCATTCATATCCCGAACCGGAATCAACTGGAAGAGCGTATCGGCTCACATTGCGACTTAATTTGATATGTCTAGCTTCGAAGAACTCGTGCGGAGTTATAATAGTACTTAGCATTGTTTTTATTCCTTGTTTTCATATTGCCTTTGTATGCTTTTAGTGTATTTTTTTGTGTAGTATGATATATTTGCTTCCCCCCTTATGTAACACCCTCCCAAAGCGGGCCTTTAGGGGTGTTTCGAATAAACAAATGATTAAACGTGCCAAGCGGCAAAGTAGATTTTGTGACTGCAACACTTTCTCAATGAAATTGGCGGCCAGGAGTTCGTCGTTGATCCACAAGTTTTGCAAATTGACAATCAAGAAGCTATCGCTCTTGCGAGCAAGAAAGTGACATCAGAGCCCAGCAAACATATTGCCCAGCATCATTTTTTCTAAAGAAAGACGATTGCAGAAAGAAGAATAACATCACTTTATGTGAAGTAATCAGATAACTACGCCGACGCCATGACCAAGGCACTCAGTGGAAGAAGAACCTTTGAAATTTGCGAACGCTGGGCTCTTGAGGTGTGGAATGAGCGTAGTATCACACAAAGAGGGGGGGGGGGGGGGGAGGGGGCGGGCGCTGGACAATGTCAGGCGTCAACACCAGATGGCTTGTGTCTGTTGGACAGTGTGTTATACTACCTCCAAATGGAGAGCGCGAGAGCTCCCGTTTGTTTTAGAGCGCAGCTCTTAGCCGCCCGCTTCCGTGTTTCACGGTGTCGGCGTCGGCGTAATCGCACAAAATTTAGCGGGAAAATGGACATCACATGGCCTCAACACCAAATATATTCCTCGCTAAATTTAGCGGGGAAGTGAAGTGGTGTTGAGGTCACGTGAAGTCAATTTTACCGCAAAATCTAGCGGAGAAACTGAATTGGTTCATAGGTGACGTGACGGCAAGTCATGTGGCGTCATTTTCCCCACTAAATTTGGCGGGAAAACTGAATGGGAGGAGGAGGGGAGAGGAGGAAATGGGGGAGATGGAGGAAAGAGGGAGATGGTACGAAAGAGGAGGAGGGGCATACCCTCCCTTCGTCCTCCTCAATAGATGCGTTTTAACTTTGTATCGCAGAGATTGGTAAACGTCTTTCCCTTTTTGTTGTGTTTTTTCCTGTTCTAAAGTTAGTCCTGATAAAATGATTTGATGCTATGGAGGATACGGCGCATCGCTCCTTGTCGGGCACGTCGCCTTAGCCACACTTTACACCGCTACACTGCGTGTTGCTTAATAACCAACAATATCTTCGTATTGATTCAGCCACGCAAGTGAGTGTAAGTCAATAAATTATGATGTAAAGTGTGCTGCAAAACGTCTATTCTACGAAGCACCTTTCTCCATAGTTCAGTGCCTTGGATCTATCGCCCACAGCCAAAACTCTCACCGTTCAATCGCTTGTCTACCAACGAAACAAAACGTCTTCAAAATTTCATATTTGGTTGAGTGTGCAGGCTAAACAGTAAAATAGAGGACATTAAAGCAAATAAACAATTCGTATCGGGCGACGATGAGTAGCCGGCTACACCTTTAAAGTAGTCAACGTGTTTATTTATACTATGTTCTCAAACATCGAAGAGAAATAAACAAGCCGTCGCAACGACGAGAGAGGTTACGGGCCTCTTTCTTTTCAAGGGAGAGAAGTCGCTTGTCTTGCTCTTTTTTTTTTTTTTTGAGGGACTCTCGGTGTCTGTGCTACCAGCTGGGTTTGCGCTGTGTGCAGCCAGGTGTGTTTTCTAGCGTCATGAACGTCATAGAGCACCCCACTGAGCGTCTACGGGTTGTGATCTTTGCAAGACCGCCCTTGTCGGCGGACGACGCCCAGCATATGCTGCGCCGGATACGGAGTTTGATGAGCGTTTAGCGTAGCCAACGGCGATGGCATCTATCTTTTCGCTGAGACGGCGGTCTAGTCTCGTCCGACTGGTGTCCCTACTTTGCATTGCCGGCTTTACTCTACTCTTCCTTCGCGGTCGACCGAGCTCCGACGTTCGGTCCGACCTCGACACGTCAGCACCAAAGGCGAGGCAGCAATCCGCTGCCGACGGAAGTGGGTCCAGTGATCGTGTAGCCCCAGCGAAGTGGCAGCCACCGCGGGGAAGCCCCGTGCTCGAGAATGTGTTCGATCCCGACGAGGAGGCATTTTTCGCCAGGTTCAAGTCCGACTGGGGCGCGGACGGACGGGGAGTTTACCTAAAGGGCGAAGAAAAGAAGCAGGCCGACATGGAGTTCAAGAGGGCCGGGTTCAACGCTTACATCTCCGATCGGATTCCGCTCAACAGAAGTGTCGGAAATCGACGTAGTCCCAGGTGAGTCGCGGTCCAATTTAAACCGACAGGTATTACGCTCTACGTGCACCGGAACACGTAAAGACTCCCTCGGCCGCCTCTGACGTCACCGCTCCGTTTTATGGGTTCCGTTCTCGGCATCCAGACTTCAATATTTCCGACTTTTCTGGTGCCCGTATTTTCACATAGGCTGAGGTATTGAGGGCGCAGTCATTCGCGGTGCGCGCTTCCTTCGCCCTCGTCGGTGATCAGGTGCTTTTCGCGTTCTCTGCGAACAAACGCTGCCTGTGATTCCGGTTCAGCAGACTGAAGCCCTAGCTTCCACTATTGTGGGGGAACCCAGCAACACGATACGCGTTGCGGCAGAAAGGTAAACTGAAGTAGGGCACCAGAAAAATATCTACCGGGCGCTTCGGAGGGTTTACTTCGAAAGGTCTCCAATTTTTTCCCCTTGCCTCCCGACTAGTCTCCATTTCTTTATATTATTTACATTCTGATTTTTTTTCTATTGATTAATGTGTCATCTTTCAAATTACATTGTTGATCCTCCTCCAAAAAAACAAAAAAAAACACAAAAAAACGTGCATTTCAGTGCTGAGAAATATTCTCGAAAAACGCACAACCCAGTGTAGAGGCGCAATGTTGAATCAGTAGACCCTTTCTGAAATTCAATCGGCCACTTCGTTAGATCTCATCGCCTAAGTGTATATCATCTGTGCATGCTAATGGTGTCCCTTTGATTGCCGGTGAAGGAAGCATCTAGCGAGAGAAACCGATGCGGAGTCTGAAGGCCCCTACGCATAATTCCGTTTGAGGACGGGTCAGCGCGTTTGACTGCGTTGCCTCGAAAAACGAAAGCGAGTCAACGGAACAGCTGTGCTTCGTGCAAAGCGTGAAATCTAATTCAAGGAATAGCTTGACCCGTGACATAAGAAGCAGGGACGTCCTGATTTCTCGCAGCCGCAACGCAGTCAAACGCACTCAAACGCTCTCAAACGAAACTGTGCGTAGGGGCCTTAAGCATCCAGACTTTAGCTCGCTGTATTGTTGTTCGCTGCCACCGTGACGAGGGAATATAAGCTTGTATGCGGTACGCATTTGAGGGTGTGATGTCAGTCCTTGTAATGCTCGGCTTCGGCATGCCCCAGACAGCTCATGACAATGAAATGTCAATCGTATCTAGAGGCTTTCTTAACAATAGGCAGCTCGTACGGAGTGCTAGTTCCTTGATACTATCGAAATTGAAGAATACAGACAAATAATTGTTTACCGAAAAACTCCATAACTTTCGTACCTCCACCGCTGATGAATAGATAAGAGATTTTATCCGCCATTAGCACACAGCGATTTGTACCGCTCTTTCAGTCACTAGAAGAAACTGCATTAGTGAAAGGGTCTCTAAGGAAACAAACAAGGTCCCTAACGACTTGTAGAAATTTGAATTATTTTTAGCTTCAGTGTAAGGTATAGATATGTCGGATCTGCTAAATGCCTAGCTCTTTTTAGGAACTAGTGGTTGAACCTTTTTAAGAACTTTTAAGCATTTGTGAGCAGCTGAATATTCAGCTGCTCACAAATGCTTAGTTCCCAAAGATCAGAACTTTAAACTTTGAAATACATTCACCAAGCACTTCGACGTCCGATAAGATAGACCATACGTCTCGTAAAAATTACATGCACACACGCATCCTCAAAAGTATCAAACCCACAATGAGGGACATTTTTTTGCGACACTTTGCGGGTTGAATTAAAACCTTATGCTCGAACGTTCAAGAAGATATTGAGAGACTTGCCTGTAGTCAACAATGAATCCAGTGTGGAAATCTTATGATGGTTCTGGGATTGTCAGATTGCAATTGTGTACTCGCGATTCTTGCAACAGCAGGAAGCTTCGCGATTCTTAGAAAAGCAAGTTTCGGTTCTCGCTTCCCCGACCGCTGCGCGACAGCTGGCGAGCCGCTGCATCGGGGCGCTGTTTGTGTGTGGAAGCCGGTAGAAAAGGGAGCGAAACGGCTCGCAGTTCGAACTCTGTAACCACTGTTACGCAATCCAGCCGGACACGAGGCTTTGTGACTGGCTCGCACGGAAGAGGAACTATGTTATGGCATGTGGTTACTTCATAAAAGCGCAAAAAAAAAAAAAAAGTAGGAGTGAGCACATGAGCCGATCTCCTACATTATTCTTCTCGTTTCTTATTTATATTCTTTACTACATCACTTCAACTTCTTTGCCATGGTTTTTTTTTCTACTTTCTTACTTCTTTCTGACTTTTTGACCCTCGTTTGTTTGCACTTTTACGTAGTATTCAGGTGCCAACTAGCTCACTTGCACATTATGTTACAGTGACCGAAGTCCACTTCGATAGCCGCGCGAACGAATTCCGCGGCGAATACGCGGACAGAGGTATGGCAGAGTTGGGCGGTATCGGGATACAAATGTATCGCGAGAGTATTTCAGAAATAATTTTAGTACTTATATTTCTGTATCACGATGCAATTTTTAAACTTGCATCTGTATTTTAGTGTCGGAATACATTTTTGGTGCTTTCCTTGTGTCGCGATACAATCCCGGGCCAATGTATCTTGGTAGAATATTCGAGAGATCAATGACCCCAGGCGAAAGCTCAAAATGCTGTTTTCTTTGTTCCTTCGTGCTTCAGAGGGGCGAAAAATACAATGAATGTGACCTTGAGGCGTATCAAGCAAACTAAGTTTTGTTTCGAGCATTATGACCCCGACATTGATGACTCTCTTCACTATTTTCCAACGATAAGATATGTTTCCGGAGTGCTTCAGTTGTGCAACTATTTTTGTAGGATCATAACGTTGAAGGCACTGTCGATACGAGCTTTACAATTGTATATTGCTCTCCCAACCCCATTTACTGGGGCGAGCAAAAAGTTTTTTCCTTCAGACTATGAAATAAAAGAGCATTATGTTATTCAAAGGGAACGCCTTGATGTGACCGCAAAACAATGTAGCGACACGGAACTGGAGGAATCTGTGCTTCAAGAATATTTGGGCAGATATAAAAAAAAAAATTTGAGGTTCGTGTGCCATCGCTTCAAAGGCGCACAATATATCTAAAAGAAAACTTCACTGAATGGAAAGTATTTTCAACCTACGGAAGACTCGCTTAGTTCCCAACGCTTTATGTCAGGAAAAAAAATGACAATTCTATTCGAAAATAGTTTAAGGCTTGAGAATTCCCAAGTTCAGCTCACGATTAGTATGAGTTTTTGTTTTCGTTGGAGGTCTCGGTTTTCGCTTTAGAAGCACAAACCCTGTCGGCTAAGCCTACCCATTAGCACCTCAAAGAACGATCTTCATAGTCATTAAAAACCGAAAACAAATATTTGCACGATTTAAAACTCTTTTCAGTGTGAAAACGGTCTTTATTCGTTTTAATATAAACCCGTGTTCGTTGACACTTGTGATACGCTTAATCCCCTTCGCTAACATGACTCTTTTGCCAAATCGACAGCTGTTGATCAACGAGCTATTTAAAAAGCTACTAAAGTTACTATTTCAGAAGATAAGTATTTAGCACAAAGTTGTTCCATTTCTGTTTTACAAATAGTAACTTTTTGCCGGTTATAAAAAAAGGTTGCATCCCAAAAAAGTTTTTATTTTTATTTTTAAATGTATGTGACTACTAATGCCCCGGCTAGATGTATTCTTGTATATGTATTTTCAAGTACGCTTTTTTTAATACGAAAACATTAACTGTCTCATGGAGCGAGCCGACATCATCAGCTTTGAACCCATGCAAAACGACACTTTAATGAAACCACACGCAAAGCTAGCCAACAGCACCTTTTACACTTCGGTCCCATTGGCTGGCGCGCGTCAAAGAGGCTCCCATTGGCCGCTGCGCGTCAGTTTGTGTTGTGTCATCTTGACTGTGTTATCACACTGTTGTGTTACCACTGATCACTGCGTTCTCTCGCCTCTTATCGGTTGTAGGGCGCGTGGCAATATATACGGCACATGGAATAAACTTAGGGGTTTTCGTTCTGCTGGGAACTACGTTGCTGCCTGTTCCTTCCTCGCGCCGCAAGGCACATGAAAGTTTGAACCATCTCTCACCGGATGGCGCTGCGTGTCCGCGAGGCAGCGGCACCACCGTTCCACGCCCAAGGTCAGCGCGTTGTACGCCGCAAATTAAAGAAGGGAGTGAAGAGCGGCATGGCGTGCTTTCGCATTCACAACTCATAAGAAGTGCTTAGGTGTACCTCGAGCCTTTTCATATGTATTTGTGATACGTACCGTGATACTTTTGTACGGATGTATTTCAGTATCAGTATTGGATCGGTCTTCGTCATGTATCTTAGTGTTTGTATTTCCAAGTACATTTTAGACTATCTCTGCTTAACCCTGAGGTCTGGCACTCGGTGATTGGAGAAACGACTTCACTTCTGCTGTTGGGATGGACGTGCAAAAGAGAAGCCAACGTAGCACGTGCCACGCTTTGACCGTCCCGGGAACCTAGGGAGCTGAATCCGGCTGAGCGCTTGGCGACCCCGGTCAGACCGGGGTCGCCGAGTGCGAAGTTGGCCGGCGCTGCCGACTTCTCGTAGTGAGTTTGCTGCGCTTTACCTACGCGGGTTGCATAACGTTGTTTACTCACGGAGGAAAACTATGGGGCGAATGCGGGGCCCCTGATTGGCCTTTTTTAAGACACGTCACAAATAGGCACCAAGCCGGAAAGCAAGAGATGGCGCTACGGCGGGCGGCTTTTTTCGGACTCGAGGCCAAACCACACGCGACGTTTTTCACGCGTCTTGTCCTTGTCAGTATTACACTTCAAAAAGAGGGTGTATTCTTACACCTTTTGTCCTATATAATACACCCGAAAACTTCAGTTCGAGGCACATCGCACTGACGTCGATCTGACGGTACTACCTTTCACGAGAGGCTTGATAGCCGTGTGGTAGTACTTATAAAAATAGCATATGAACGTGTTACTTGATACAAAAAAAAAAGAAAAGATAATCGGGGTTTTTTGGTCTTACTGCAAAA